TCACATACGCATCCCGATCGGTTTATATTTCCCAACTATTTTGAATCGGCAAAAAACTTACTGGCTGGGGCGGCGTATGAGGTAGCCAAAGCTGGGGCAGCGTATGAGGTACCTGGAGCAGATGCCAAGTGAGCGCTGAGGTATCCTGGTTTGGCAGCAGCCAAAGCGAAGACAGCGAACAAAGTAATCTAAACCGAAAATACACAGAGTTAGTCAAAATTACCGTTAATCAAATACAAAAACACCAAACAAACTGATATTTCTTTAAAATTTTGCAAAATCGACCACCGATTCAAATCACGTACCAATTTGAACATTTTTAATGTTTTTAGTTTAGCGTGCTACGAGAGTGTATCAATCTAACTGATGCTGTTTGCTGTTTTTGCGACGGCTTTTATACTTTGGATGGACACTGGCTACTAGTGTACCAAAATTGGCATAAATCTTGATTAACATAAATTAGCGGTGACGATCGGCGTTAAAGATGCTGATATGCTAGCGACTATTTTTTTCATGGCTATCCAGCAGTTATGTTGAATCGCGCAGCTAAACTTGTATAGAATACACAGAAGAAAACAAAACACGTGTTAGAAACAAGTATTTTTGAACTTTTTTGCTTTCTCGGGCAAAGCAAACTTTTCTCTCGATCCAATCAATTTACATAAAAATAACTCGCTTGAAGTCTCGTTGTTGTCGGGGAAATGGTTCGCTCGTAAAATAAAACAATAAACGGTCGAGAAGATTCAATTTGATCGATGAACAAAGTAGGACTCGTTTTCTGTGGCAAAGCATGCGTGCTCGCATATTTTATATGTAATCGAAAATGCCTCATTATTATTCCATTTGTTGAACAATGTTTTGGGGAAGTGACTCCATATGCAAGAGATAGCATCGTGTGATTGCTTTTAAAACTTTCGCTTTCGTCACTTGCAAATACGGATTGGGGTGAAATGCGCCAAAAATAAACTCATTCTAACGTCAATTGCAAGGCACTTTCCTTTTTTCTTCGCTTCTTTTTTTTGGGGCAAATGCTAAAAACTATGGGAAAATTGGAATTTTATGTGAAAAGCCACAGACGAAAAAAAATGTTATTAGTTATGATATTAATTTTATTTTCATTTTCAACCAATTGATTTTTGTCACAATATTACAATAGCATATAATAGAAATAATGTATATATTCTAAGACTAGAGTTTGAGTTATGCAAATTTAGCAGAGCGTGTGCTGTAATCATCGCCAAATCTGCTCACAGATCACCCTCAACTTTTCATTTTGCGCTTCGCATTCGGATCGAATGTTTTTGATATTCATTTGGTCGTTCTAAACATTTGTTGTTGTTGTGTTCTTTTTTTACAAAATTTCGACTAAAATAATACGTTTGTTGAACATTTAGTGATCGGAAATAATTTCTCAAGTGTTCTAAATTTGTTGGAATTTGGAAATTTGTAGAATAAAGATTGGAAACTGGCTAAAATGTGTCAATATCTATTGTTATTTGATAACATTTATTATTCTTCTCTCTATATTTTCTTCAAGGTATTTACTTTTACTGGTTTGCACTCTTTTATACATTGAAATTCAAAGCACTTGGCTTCAGAAGTATTAATACAAAAAAACTGCCCTCACTTATTGGCTATATTGTTTGACATTACTTCAGAACGAAAAGAAAAAGAAAAAACAGGGATTATAATTGCCAATCCAATTAGACGCCAATATGGTTGTTGAATGGAAGCGCTTCATGTTGTAATGTGAGCGTATTGGAAGCTATAAAATTTGGTGGCAACGAACGTGAATCCATTTTTTCCGTAATATCTTTGTTCAGTGACTGCAGAGAGTTTATCGTCTGCGGCCAGTTCATTGTTGGGAGCCGTGGCACTGGCCGCAGTATTTGTTGTCATTTATCCACTCCGATTGCGTCTTTTTGATATGGATCACTGCTAGTGGAAACAAAACAAAAATAAATTCGGAGTTTCCGTTATGAACAGGGTTTCATTCTCTTCTTGTGTGAAGGCAATTTGATTTGAATCTTCAATTTGTCGATAAAACACAGAAATTTTGTTGAACAGTTTATTCTTCAGGGAGTTTATTAACTCGAATCAGACTATCATTACCATAATTTTAGAATAAGCCTAACAGCGACTCCTAAAAGGTGACTCAGTTTCTATGGTGGTAAATACCAAACTTCTGTTTTTTTTCGAGTTGGATTGCAACAAATTATTGCCAACAATAAAAACAACAAGCAATAATTGACGAACCAAGGACAAAATTGAATTTTAATACGGTTTGATTCCTTAGAATTAAAAGAAAGTATTACTAAAATATTTTCAAATTGGACAAAGAAATCTTGAGATGATTTGAGTTAAAGAGAGGGAAGTTATGACCGTGGAAAATATGACCGGTCACCGTTTCACTCGTTTATTGTTAAAATTACTGCAGTTTTCTTTAAAACGCCTTTCCGAATCATTTTCGATTTAAATATCAAGTCCAAATGTTAAGCTCACCTTTTATTCCCCTTTTCCATACGTTGGTGCTGTACGAATTGAAAAGCTGATAAACATTCACGTTGCTGGTAATACAGTTCCCGAATTTGATGCAAATGCCGTTGTTCGGCCGTATCTGGTAGCATTGTTTTGTATTGGGTTGGCATTTGCGAACCACTTCTCCCTGATATCAATTTGTTGTACTCCAATAAATTCAATCGTTTTTCCATTTCACATACCGAATACTGATGAACAATGGCATGCTTCTTGAGATAGGCCATTCTAAAATGAAGATCGGATTCATTCCAAAATAGATACGGACAACATTAATAAAATGAGAAAAATCTCTATAAAAAATCAATTGTCGATTTGTCTAACCGGCGAAAAGCTTTTCCACAATCTTTGCACACAAAATTCCCCAATTGACTGTCATTGCTGTTGGTGTTCTCATTGGTGCGAATATTTGGTTTATGCTTAAGCTTCATATTTGCTGCTGGCACTGCTACTTTCTGCGACATATTACCTTGGCGCGGTTTGTGCCATCGACGATGTGATGCTAAATTTGCCGGACAATTGAACACCTGGGCCAACCGAGGCCACGCGTGTAACAAGCAAAAAACATTGAGCATTAATTTTTAGTTTGCTTGCAATAACAACATTTACGGTTTGAACCGTGCACAGCATAAAATAGTGGCAACAAGCAACTTTCATTAACACAAGAAACGCAAAAAAACGAAAGTTACTCTCGATTTAGTTTTACATAAACGTCGTCGATTTTAAATTGATCGCTTGAACCAATAAAACCAAACAGAAATCAAATGCGTTTACATTTATTTTCAAGGAATTACAAAATTCTTTTTTTTTGTTCATATTGAAAGAGAGGAGTCAGCATGCAATTCATATTAAAATTCAAATAAAAAGAAATGTTGAAGCGAGATTCATGTAAAATCACATTTTCAGTTTAGAAAAATTATCAAAAATATCGAGCACAAATTCATCAATAGGGGAAGTGGGGGCGAATCGTTCCACTTTTTTTCAAATCCAAATATCTCCGTCCCAGTTAGGCATTTTGAACAACCTAATATGTTGATTGATAGGTATATTGTAAATGCGCAACTTTTGATACAAAACATTTATGGTGTGCGACCTGCTCGGAAAATTTTATGATCAATTTTCCGACCACGAATCGTTCCGCCCATGAATATTCCGTACTATCAATTCACAAATTTCAAATGCCTATTCGCGTTCAATAGGGCACCCTAAAAACTCCCCAAATACAAATTTTGAGCATATTAACCGGTTTGGTGGGTGAATTATGAAGGTTTTTAGCTTAAAGGGATGAAATTAAGGGTTTTTGGCATATTTATGCATTTTTTTCATGAAAAAAGTGAGTTGAGCATTAGCCTTGATGTGTTCAGATGATATGTTTAGAACGCTTTGACAAATCAAATGACACCTTAATTGGGGCCTATCTTTACCATAGGGAGTCGCGGAGAGCTCAAAAGGTAGAAAAAACGCCAACAATCTCAATTTAAGGCAAAAGGGGTAAAATCCCCATTCAACACCCCAAACTGATTTCATATTTGGAAAGTCCATAAAAAATCCTATAAATATTATGAATATATTTCAACTTGATATAACCTCAACTTCAGCTCCAAATTGGGGTTGAAAGTTCGTTTGGAACGATTCGCCCCCAGGTATATGTTCGATTTCCAAAGGCGATATCACAAAATATTCAATACAAAAACTAAAATTTTGTATTTTTACGCGAAAGTACTCGACATTAGCTGTAAAAATTATTTACATTCACTTGGGCAAAATAAAAATTTATTGTAGTTATTTGAAATCCTAAAGTCACAAATTGTCACAACAGCATGTGCCGAAAATATATTTTTCAATTTTCCCGTTTGTGTATGAATGAAAACTATGAGTCTCAACTAACGAAATATGCGGAATAATATGACAGATCTATGATAAATTTCATTTTGACATATTTTTCTGCCAGTCGCCAGATATCGCCAGTAGAACTATTCGCCCTGTGGAACGATTCGCCCCCACTACCCCTATCATTGCAAAAAAAATATCATTTTTTTTCTATCAAAATCGAACGATAAAGTTTCAACCCATTTATTCAGATGTTTTTAACCAAAAATTCCTCTAACGAAAAAAATAAAAAAAACAACCAAAAATAGCAAGAAAGGCATAAAAAAACCTGATACAGTTTAGAATTGAATTGAAAATTGAAAGTTTATTGCTATTAGTTGACATTATAAATTGATTGCAAATAAAGATTCGCCCAGCTAAAATCGGCGACGTTAACAAATTCAAGTAAAAGAAAATGGTCAATTGATCCAAATCGAGTTTTTTTTATAGTTCTTAATATAGGAGTGCTTTAATTACTGTCAACGCTCGCCAAAGTATAGCAAAGCAACGAGAAATGGACGTAAAACCGTATATCATACGATTGATGGCAATTAGATAAATGAAATTGAAGATAATCAAATTACTTTTGGAGAAAAAAAACGGTTTTTCGTTTCGATTTTGCTTTTAACGTTTCCGTTTTGATTTCGTTTATTCATTAGACGCAATTTGGAAGTGATCGATATGTGTCGGGTAGACATAAAGTAATAGTGGAAACGCGGCGATATAATAAAAGAGGAAAGAAATAGAAAATAAAAGCCAATTTGCCGGTAAGACCATCGAATTTCTGTGAATAAGATTCGGATTTGGTATAGAATGAAACGACATAACGAGATAGATCAAAATCTATTTTTATTCTCTATCTCTCTCTCTCTCTCTCTCTCTCTCTCTCTCGCTCTCTCGCTCCCTCGCTCTGCAGCGACAACGTTTCCCTCTAAAACTACTTCGAACAACGACCAAGTATGATAGCTAAGGTTTTATCGACTTGATCATGAATGTGGCGAATTTTCAAAATGTAAATTTTGTAAGCAAAAAACTCAACTGGTTCAAAAAGCATTTTACTTTCTCATGTTAAATAAAACTAAATACAAAATAGCTTTTATAACTAAAATCTAAAGAACAAAAAGTGTAATTATCAATGGCTTTCATACATTTATATACATTTTAAATAAAATATAAGAAACTGTGGCAACCTTATCACATTCAGCGCATCGGTATTCGATGTGTACGATACGTGAGCATCGATGCTGGGCCAATTGGAATGCATCATTGTACAATTCACGGCATAAATTGCAAATGTACGAGCCAATTTTGTTTTCAATTTTCGATAGGATCTTTTTGGCTTCGTCGGTAATTTCAACAACATTGAAAGCGGGATCGATATCACCGCGACGCACCACCAGCTCTTCATCATCTCGTAATCGGCGAATTATTGTACCCGACACTGGGCTCGTATTATCATCGTCATGCACATGAATTCGTTTGTGTTTTATGCGCTTTTTCAGCACTATACTTGATGGAAGCGACCCTGTTGATACATCCATTGTGTTTGTCATCGTCGTCGTCGTCGGCGTTGACAATTTACTATTATCAAAAATGTCCAAACGTCGATTTTTGATATCGTTGCACAAGGTTTTTTCAAACAATTTGGCAAAACCGTCGATTGCATTTTTATGTAACTTTTCATCATCGTAATAAGTTTTGTCTCGATCCAAAGCACTGCCATTGCATTGTTCACCATCATCGTCCTCAACAATACCATCAACATCATTATCGTCGTTATCGTCGTCGTCGTCGTCGTCATCGTCGTCGTTATCGTCGTCATTGTCCTCGTCGTCAACATCATTGACCAACACAACAGGTATATCAGGTTCGTTTGCATTACCAATATCGACTTCGGAATGAGTCCTTCGCGGTAAAACTATATCATCTTGTGTCAACACATCAACGAATGCATCTTCATCGGAATCGAAGTCATCATCAATACTTAAATTATAACTAAATTGTTCCGTTTGACTATCGACCATCATCGGCGTCGTCGTTGTTTTCGTTGGATTGTCATCTTTTGTTCTACGATCGCCCCTGTGATTCGCTTGTCGCTGTTCACTTGCCATTATCTCTTTGTTCATGGTCACATTGCTATTCATTATTAACGGTGATGATGATGATGATGATGTGTTAAGGCATGCACTTTCCGAATTGTGAAAATACGCCGATGCACCTGCTGATGTATGTCCCAATTGTTCCCATTTCCAAAATGCCGGCGCACTCGACACCACCGTATTGATGTCCAAATTTTTATTCACAAATTCCCCGATATTCATTCGACATTGGACGGGCGACGGTGTGGTTGGCGGTGTTATCGGTGTTAATGTACGAATGGACAAGTCAATGGGCGATGGAAATGCACTATGCCGTAAAATAAAAGGCGGAAAATACGATGGATTGCCCAAAATTGGCGGCACACGCAACTGATGATATGGAAACATTTTCGTTTTATTTTCGATTTTTCACACAATCCAAATAATTTTTAGTTTTTTTTTTATTTGAAAAAAAAAGTTATATTTTTTCAAACTATTTATTCTTTTTTTATACTTTTTATTTAGAACAGATGAACTTTTTAATTTGAAACAAATAAATGTTATTAAAATCTTTTTTAAATTTCGAAGAGCATAAAAGAATTCTAAGCCACACGCTTTTATTTTGCAAATCAATAAATTATTCAACAATTCCGAGCGTTTTGAATCCAAACACCAACGGAATGAAGCAAGTTCCCAAACATCCTCTTTGTTGTTATTGTCTTTTTTTGTCTACTTTTACCAAATATACAAAACATCAAGTGCACACACGGAGCGAGCACACTTCGACCGCCTCTAAGGACAATTCGCAATCAACTAAAATATTTTCACTGGAGTACGCAACTCAAATTTTCCCATTTTCACGATGATTTCGATTTTCTTCGACACACAACACCAACAAGTTGGGCCAACAGCATACAGAGGGAAGAGCAAGGCAAGGCAAGGCAAAGCAAGGCAAGCCGATATCCAAGTCAAGCGAAGTAAAGCAAATGGCACAGCATACACACAATACAAAAGAGTTGATTTTATTGTATTAGGAGAATAAACATTATGATGATGACGATGATGTTGATGGGTAACACACAGGGCAGCCAGTGCTGCACAGAGTCAGCCAGCCAGAGAGAATACGAAGCGATTCTGCTTTTTCTGCATCGGCATTGGATCGCATTAACATGTTTATAGACAAACTTTTCAAAACTGCGCATATTCGAAACGCCTTCTTCACTTTTCATCGTTGCATAACAGGCAAAAAATCAACAAGTTACAGAAGCTGAACGGTTACGAACCCCGCCTATCGGTATCCTGTCTATCTACCAATTGCAGTACACGCAATTTTTTCTTTCAAAAACAAACATCCACTTTTGGCAAAGGCATCATTTTGCTCGCCGTTTTTTCTTCTTTTTCTTCTGTTTTTTTTTTCGTATTAATTATTGACGTACATCTCTGTAGCATCTCTCGACGCTATTGAAATATTAATGCAACTATGAAAAATTTCAGTGATACACTCCATTTGAAAATGTTACAGGAATGCAATTACGAAACATAGAAAAATGGAAAGAAAGTGCAACATTTCCTAGGGAATTAAATTTTCATCTCTTCAGTACACTGAAGATTCTTTTTTGAAAAATAATACACCCTCGTTGGTGAATAAATAGCATTTTTTACATGTGCCATGGGAATATTTTATACCTTGTGAAAAATATATTCATTACTAGTTAGACGTCTATTTTGAGACATTTTGACTGGAACTTTGTACGCACTGTGGTTGGAATTCCAATCGATTTCAATGAAATTTGAACAAATTCAATCAATTCGGCCAGTTTAATCAGTCAGTTGTACATTTCAACTGTCCAGAAAACTTAAGCGACTTTTCGAAGACGAAATTTATAAAATTCATCTAAATTTATTTTATCAAAACAAAGTACATGCTTATGATTACTGAATTTGTACTAGTATTGATTTGGGTCAAAATTGATACAAAGAATTTTTCTTCAATAAAAGAAAGTTCTGGCAAATCAACTTAAATACATTTATAACCAAAATATTCTGATTTCGAATAAGCTTTGGAAATATCCTTTATTTTCCATTGATTTTTGTGTAACATTTTTCACTAAAGTACTGAAAAGAAAAACTTATTCGTCAAAATTCTGCTCAAAAAAATTAGATTAATGTTCAGTAGATTGATCAAAATTGAAGATTGATGCTCATTTTAGCACTAATGATTCGCTCAGAAGAGTAAATTCATGTATTTTCGGCCCGATACACGATACCGTAACCGTCGAATTTAGACTTATTATCAATTTTTAATGAATTCTATTATGGGCAGATGCATCAAAAAATTATTTTCATGCATCAAATCACTACTCGTGTTCAAATAAAGTTGACTAACAGTCACACAGTTGTATGTAGCTGCAAATAACTAAAACTGGCCAAGTTGATTGAATTCAAGATTGTTGTATAGAAATTTATTAATTTTATTAATGACATTGTCTAGGACATTGTCGACACTGTAACTTATGCACTTGTTTTATTGTTCGCAGATGATTTAAAACTCATATTGAGAATCACGTCACCGAACGATGCCCGCTTATTCCAGATGGCCATTGACCATTTGCACGAGTGGTGTAGGCTCAACAAGCTCTACTTAAATCTGAAGAAACGTTTCGTCATGACGTATGCGAAGAACATCACCGTACAAAAATATGAATACACGATAAACAATGGTCAACACAAATTTGACAGAATAGAGCTACACCGGGACTTGGATGTCATTTTTGACGTGAAACTCACATTTTCCAACAACATTGATACGACAGTAGCTAGCGCACACGGTGCATTAGGTATTTATAAAGCGAACACTGAAAAACAAGTTTACTGTAGAATCAGCAAAAATGTTATATTGTGCATTAGTTCGATCAAATTTAGAGTATGCTAGTGTAGTGTGGCATCCATACCACCAGTCATACATTGACAAAATTGAATCAATTCAGAAAGACTTTGTAATCTTGGCACCTAGAGGAATTTACCAAAGAGATGTTAACTATAGATTGCCATCTTATGAATTTAGATGTGATAATTTGAATATTCAGCCGCTTTGGAGGCGGCGTATAAATGCCTCAGTATTTTTAATTTATGATCTCTTATTAGGAAAGTTAATTAGCATGGCACTGAGAGAAACAATTGTATATACGAGACGATTAGACAATAGGAACCGAAGAAATGCGAGAAACATAGACTTAGTCAGAATTGAAACGTATGGCACGGGCTATGCCCGTAACCAACCGTTTATTCTAGCGTGTAGATATTTTAACAAAGTAAGACAATCGTTTTTAGATTCGGCATCAAGACAAATATTTAGTCGGAATGTATTCAATTTATGTAGATAATCGTGTATTTGAAGAATTGTATGTATAGTGATGAGCGGTGAACACAATCGGATGCCGCAGAGTGTCATTTCGAAGTCATTAGGGCTGGTGGCTGGGCTATCCGATCCGGGAGTGTTTCATTGCTGGTGTAAACTTGTATTTTATAAATGAATTGTATGATATTATTCAGTCTGTGATTAGACGGTGAAATAAACAATAATAATAATCACTTTTAGTTATTCTTTAAAGAATAGAAAAGGCTGAATTCAGCCAGTCGTCTAATGTCGGACTTTTTGGCTACTAGATGACTATAACTTAAGTTGACTACAGTCGAATATTTTGTTCGAGATAATCACTTTAAGTCAGTAATAGTAAGCCAAAAAGTGCAAAACTAAGCGGCTGGATTGGATACTCAGTCATGAATTTTTCACATGAGTAATTATTATGAATTGAGTAAGTTAAGTAAATGGGGAAAAAGAGCAAAATCTCATGAAAATTCTTTTGCGTAAATTAAATTGAAAGGAAATTGTTTTCCAATATAGAAAAATCTGTTCGGATTTTGAAATGATTTATTAACAAAATTTGAGTTTAAAAATTGTGGGATTTTTCAACATGAAGCTGTTTTTAATTAAAATAAAATTTATAATTCGGTAAAAGTATGGAACTATTGAAGAAAAAGGACATTTTGATCTCAAACCAAGTGTATCATTAACATTTTGTTCATGTTTATCTAATAAAATAAAGTTAGGAACGAAGTTTTTAAAGCATAAATCATTCATTTTGTTTTATTTATTGCGTTTGACACACACACACACACACACACACAAACTATCGTTTAAAAAAACATTCAATACCTTTCCAACGAAAAAGAAGTTTTCACAAATCGATTTCCGTCGACACCTAAGAGTAAGTGTTAAAGTTCTTAACGATATTCCATGTGCAATGCACATTGTGCATAAATTTAAACTTGTTCAATATTTTGATTGAAATCCCATGAACTGAAGTGGAATGATTTTTGAGATTGCCCGTCATTACAATATAGATTATATATTCAAATGCACTTCAAAGCACTTATGTCTTTATTAAAATATGTCACACAATTATCTCCACTTGTGTCATATGAAAATTATTGGGCCTGTGCAGCAGCGGCAACAGCTACGGAGGGTAGGAAATATTCATGGCATGCATGCACAGACAATACTGTGGAATTTCAAACGGCTCATTTATATGTATAGCCAATTTGTTGCATTTTTACGGTCCCCTTCGGTTTTAGTTCTTCGCGAATAGGGTCGTACACAATACCTTATGAAAATATATTGCTAGTGCGTTATGCAGAGCATAAATATACACCCCGGTATGTCATATATACTGTTTAACAGGGGCTGCCGCTACCGCTCTGCCACTGAACCCGTCGCCGAACCAGTAATTGTAGTTTAATAACATTTTCAATATTTGTATGCAAATATTTTGAATTGAAATTAAGTAGATTATTAGCACGATTTGGCAAAATATGCTCTCGACTGCACAGCACTTGAAAAATAAATGGTTTATAAGGACATTTCGTGGATATTCATTCAAACGATGAGGTTGACTCTGTGATTTCAAGAAGGAAAAGACATGAAGCTACACTGGCTGATTGGAAAAAGAAGGAAAAACACACACAGCAATCATCACATTTGTTTTTAAATTGATCAGAAAGAGATTAAATTTTTATACCAATGGCACCAATGTAATTAACATTGTAGGAATACTGGAGGTTTGAAGTTCATCATGTTCGACTGTAGAGTACTTTTGAGAAATAGTTTATGGCCATGCTAACATTAGCATTAACTCCCGATTTGACTGAATTTTGAGAGAAAATTCAGGATTTCGTGGGAAGAAAAGTTCCAAGAAAGTAGTATATTTGTACAAAATATGCAATTCTACTTGTTTTTAGGATTCCACCATATGATATCATATCAATTATTGTTCAATTTCATTCTAGAAATATTTTTAACGTATTCAAAGTTTTAAAAAAAATGTTGGAACCGGTTCGTGATGGGTATGCATTGTCGATTCAATTGGAAGAAAACTCCTTTTCAATCTGACCCTC